GAAGGAGTTCACTGTGTGAGCTGTTATAATCGACTATAATTATAACAGAGACGTCCAATAAATCCAATCATCAAATCTAGAACCATTATTATTAGTTATGCTACTCCTTACACGCGACAGTATGATCGTAGTTGCTGTATGCAGCTACAGAACCACTACAAACTCATGGCGCAAATTGCGTAAAATGGTAGTTACTATAGGATTCTGACGATGGTGTATAACACACAGAGATATTGGGTTTTCGGACTTTATCCATGTCCTGGTTTTTAAGATAACTAAGAAAAACACGACGTTTCGGAAACTGGATCTGTTTCCATCAGTGGACCAGTGATTTGTAACGGACCCAACAGAATAGGTGTTTTCCCTCACCTGAGGATGGAAATACCGTATTTACGCATGTATAGGCCGCGTGCGTGTATAGGCCGCAGCACAATTTTCAGACAGAAATTATAGAAAAAATAATTTTCTTGGAATATTATTTCAGGAGTAGAAATTATTCCGAAATGAATATGATTAAATGAAGTGTGATTTCGAATATTTCGAATGTAAGCCGCACCCCAGTTTTCCTCTTGAATTTTTGGCAAAAAATGTGCGGCCTATACATGCGTAAATACGGTAGATCCAGTTTCCGAAACGTCGTGTTTTTCTTAGTTATCTTAAAAACCAGGACGATGGATAAAGTCCGAAAACCCAATATCTCTGTGCGTAATATGGTTTTAGTATAAAATCGTCCTAGGATTCATAAAGATATTCACAGCTTTACAAAGATTTGCATTACGAAATTTCAATCCCATGAACGTTTATAATGAAGCACATACCTCGGCGTAGCTTGTCACCTGAACGCGAAATTCCTTCCGAACAAAAACGAAAGCGTGCGAACGAAAGAATAAAATAATGTAACTTTGGCGAGTCAATTCATCTCATGCCCGATTGAGCTATATACGATCGTATATTTCATTAGATTTTTCTGGTTTTTTTTTTATAATTGTAATAATTCTTATTGTTTTATGTTGTAATACGGAAGTATCTTTTGTATATGATTTGAGGGACTCACAAAGGTGGTTATATCTTCTGAGATATAACGCAGTATAGCCCGTTGAAGGTCAACCAACGTGCCGGAGGAATAAGTCGCTTTATCTTCAGGGTCGAAGAATAAAGAAACTAATATTAGGCAACTGGCCAGCAGAGCTCTGTTTGCTAATTGCAATATGCAGGTAACCTATTCCTCCGAAACGTCGGTTTATTCTCGACGGACTTTAGAATACAGACTCTTAAAGCTAACTTTTATGGACACACCTACATATTTCAAGGAGCCGGGATAGCTCAGTCGGTATGGCGAGTGGCTACGGGCTGATGACCGAGGGGTCGCAGTTCGAGTCCCGGTAGGATCAAGAATTTTCTTCCTCAATGTCTTGCAGACCGACTCTGGGGCCCTCCCAGCCTCCTATCCAATGGGTATCGAGGGCTCTATCCCAGGGGGTAAAGCGGTAAGAGCGTGAAGCTGACCACTCACCTCCAACTAGTGCCGATGTCAAGAAAATTTGGAACTATATATACATTCCCCCATAAGCTTTCATGGCGTAGTGCTTAATTAGTTAAGCACAGTGACAACTTTACTTTTTTTGATACACATTTCAAGCACGAGGTACTTAGAAATCACTTTACTCGGTGATTCTGATCAAAAATAATGTAAGTGCTGTGACGCTGGATAGTGAAGGAGCGACGTCTGGCTACAGGATCAAAGCTGAAATGGGAATAAGACGATGAAAGGGAAGGAATACGGTCTTGTTGCCAGCTGACGACGAAGAGGAAGGAGACATGAGACGAGGAAAACCCGTCCATGTGGAAAATGTTCAAAAAGTTTTCAAAGTAACATAACGCGCCCAACTTGGCACTTAACTGGGTTCCATTTTGCTGACATTCATTGCCGTTTACACCACCATTATGACTCCATCAGCTGTGAAACCCATTGCTGCAAACACTGCTTAAAAGTCTAAGGAACCTTATCGCAAAGTATTAAATTTACGTTCTCAAGAACATCCTGCTGTTGTTCCATTAGAAAGAATCGATTCTGTGAGTGTTTAAATAAAATAATAACGTACATATAAGAAACAAATTTAAACGTGTACAAGTTACGACTTTAATATTCTGGGGAGGTCTGCCTGCCTGATTCCTTGGAGAGGTATGCTAGCGGGAGCGTATGCTCCTGGTAGTGTCTCTAGTGCTAAATATGCCCCACAATAGGGGCCAGTTGAATAGTATCCTTTGGTTTTACAGGTTGGGAACTAAAACTGAGTATGACTTCGCCCCTTGAAAAAAATACATGTTAAGAACCACGTACTGGAGCCATCTACACAACAAAACAAATTAAAATATAATAAGTTTGACTGAAATCAATAAAAAGAATCAGTGGGTTTAATCATATTGTTTTATTCAACCGCTAAATATATCGGTCGCATGGACCATCATCAAATGTTTTGTAAATAAATAAATAAATAAATACTGTCACGTGTTTGAGTGACTTCAGACGGGTGTTGGACTGGTAAATTGATTTATCTGACTCTTATACAACCCTTGACTACACTTTATAAATCACTAGTACACACAGACTAGTTTCCTCAGTCACGTCTTCGCTAGCCGTTGCTCGGTAGCGGCTTTCAACGGCGGAGGCCGGCTATCGACCGTTTCAGTTTAAAAAATTACCGACGTTTCAATGACCATCTTTGTCCCAATCATCAGTTTCAGACCCTGGAGAAGATTTTAACAGCTTATCTACCAGTGTACTAGAAATCCCTTTGGATGTTGAATCCGTCCCTTGTAAATATTAAGAATAAAATACACATAGGTACATTACATATTCTGACCTCATTTCATCATCTGTGAGAGTTTCACTGAATGCTGGCTACGTAAGTTATAAATACCAATGAATCGTGAGTATTTTCGATACAATCGCAATTCAGCCTTCGTAAGAGGAAAACGTCATGGAATCTGCCCATTAAGAATGTAGTGCATATGAGGCTTTACGCAAAGGATGTACCAGTAGCGCGTAAAGCCGTTTCCAGGCAACGACTCGGTAATCACATGGATACATATACAACAATGGAGGTACTATTGGAAACGGGGGTTTCTACTGTGATCCCTGCTGAAGGTTTACAAGGAAGAACATTGGGGCAACCAAGTCAGTTCTGTAAGGGAGTCTGAAGGAAAGAGTCAGTGCTCAGATGAAAGTCGGGCTGTGAAGAGAAGACTATGTGGTTGGTCTGAATGATCGCCAGCCTGGGAGTTGGTCAGAGAATTGCAGTTCAGTCGTTGTGAGCCGTTGCTGTTAGAAGCTGGTAGCACCCAAAGTAAGGGGAACTTCCGCTATTGGAAGCCGTGATCAGACAACGGCTAGTAGAGGCTGTAGTAGGCCGAGGACACTAGTCTGTGACAGTGATCTGTAAAGTGTTGTGTGTATAAGTGGTCAATAAATTAAGTCACCGTATATAGTCACTTATACACGTGACAATATGAAACATTTACTGAATCGGAGAGGAAACATAGTTTAGTGTGTGGCCCAAATATACACACGGAATGTAACGAGAAAAGAATTTATAAGAGACCGGTCTCCCATTCATATTTTGAGTATGGATTATACTAATGAAGAGTGGTGTCTGTCTTCTGGGTTATAACGTCATGTAATTCTGATAAATTCCGACGTTTCGGAAGAATATATAGCCTCCATACTTGGGGTCGATGAATAAGCCAAAGAAGGAAACCAACCGAAAGAGGCAGCAGGCTCAGCTTAATGTCCTCGACTTTGAAGCTGCTACTGCTATACCTCTCCGAAACTCCGAACTCTCTCCAAAATATACGGAGTTACAACCGTAGAGTTCATATTCAACGCCGTGAGAACCTCCGATCAAACAGAAACTACGTAGAAGTGTTAATAGGGACATTTTTCGGAAGATATTGGATTTGAGTTTCTCACAGCGGTGATTATGTATCCGAGATGTAGTGCCGTGTAGTCCAGTAGGTGCCCACCGACATTTCGGAGAAATGTATTGCCTCCATCTTCATGATCGAAAACTAAGTCAGGGAAAGGCCAACCAGTGGCCGCCGTGCCGATGGACCCATTTGGACTCCACCCATCACTAAGCGAATTTTAAGTCAGGGAACCAGCAAGAAGTTAGTGACATTCAAAGTAAATATACCCGTGGTCATTACTGGACTACACGGCGTTACATCGCAGAAAACAGTACTACGTACCGAAACATTTCAAGATTTAGATTGAAGGATAATATTAAAAAGTTCTTACTGAAATAGATTTTGTATGAACTGACGAAGTTCCTCAGGAGGTGTCACTCTGAAACATTTTGAATACTAGAACTACCGGGGTTCGATTCCGATAGCTGGGGCCTTTATAGATTTTTTTCTGGTATATGATAATAAATGATCTGAGGCCTGGAGTAGAGCCAATTTCCAACGTGGTGTGTGTATGCCTATTTAAGACAGGGATAAGTCTGTCTTCTGTAAGACAACTCAATGTATTACGTTGAAAGTGAAACGACGTTTCGGAGGAATATATTGCCTTCATTTTCAGGGCTGAAGAAAAAGCCAAGCAAGAAAACGGTATGAACGTAGGTGGCATTTCCATTAAATCTGTGTTTGTAGTCTGCGAACGTTTTATGGCTGGTCTTATGAGGTTTCTATCCTCTAGAGCATTCCATTGTCAATCTCGCGTTTCAATTATTCGCTGCCCATATTTGTATCCATTGCCACATGCTTTTACGCTGATTTTTTTTGCTTGGCTTATTATTTGACCCTGAAGATGGAGGCTACAACTATAAGTAGTTGTATCTCAGAATATAGAACCCTTCAGAACCATCGTTGAGAGAATTTCAAATCTTACAACGTTAAACATAATTACGTTGTAAATTAGCTTTGGAGTAAGTTACTTAGCTTACTTTCGCTTTTAGAAGCTGTACAAGACGCTGTATTCTAGCAAAACTTCCACTTACCTGGCTTAAGCCGTGGGTCCCAGTTGCGCTCGTCTCCGAATGGTCTCCTCTCAGCCTGCGGGCTGCCTACGCGGCTAGTGCCAGGTGAACCACGCGATGACTCCCTCTTCCCATGCTGCCGCCACTCCATCTCCCTCTCCCACCTCAATTCCTCCCGTCTCTCGCCGGCCACTTTTTCCAACTCTTTGAGTGAAGCGGGTGACACATCAGAGTGACGCCTCAGTTCTGGTGTCCGCGGCGGCGCAAGACCAGCTCCCAGGCCGCCTCCACCACCACCAGCTCCTGTAGGGTGAACATAACAGTTCCGATATGTTGCAGGGAGGGATGTGACCTTCGGTGATATCTTTGGGATTTTTTAATTGTCCCCTTCTCCCAGGTTGGAGCAAGATTGTGTTTCCACAAACAGCAGACAAGCCACGCAAATGTTGTTAGTTTGACCGATGAAAAAAGAAAATTAACTTCTGAATGTTGAAGGAAGCCTCTATCGTGAGAAGAATCCTTAAGGAAACACTTGGACACTGGTGTGAAAATATACAGATTCTTGTTTCAAATATCTGCCCTCTTTAGCCTCAGTAACAATCATGATATTGACAACTAACAAATTAATTATATTTCTTGTTATCGAAAATCGAAGTTCTGTCGATATATTGAAGTTGTTCGCGGTTTATGTACAAATAAATTCCGAGCCAAAACTTGCGTTAAAACTTAGCAGGTGAAACAGAAGTCTTGGCATAATGGTATCGGGTGATACACTGAAACTATAGGGTCTCATAAAGTATAGAGGTTTATACAGATGGAAGAAATATACTACGTACAATGCAAACTAACTGAATTAAATTTGCGGTTCTGTATGATATGAAGGAGAGGGCAAGTTAAATATATTGCAAAAAACGCGAGAGACTAAAAATTTTTCTAAACTGAGGAGCTACATCTAACATTTTGGTTATAGATTTTGAAAATATACTTATTTACTTGTGACCTGTTTTATGGGGGCAGGCGGTAGCGTAGTTTGTTGAGGCACTATACTACAAGCCAGAAGGTCGCGGGTTTGATCCCTGATGAGGTCATTATATTTTTCAATTGACCTAATCCTTCCAATCGCACTATAGCCCTGGGGTCGACTCAGCCTCTAACAGAAATGAGTACCAGGAATTTTCCAGGATGTAAAGGTCCGGCGGGCGCGTGAGTTTCAGAACCTCACTGCCATCTATGAGTCGAATGTCTAGAAAATGTGGGAACCTCAACGTCTCACAACCCAATGGGTCTTCATAGCATGTTAAAGGAATAGCTTTAATGTTCCGTTCTCTCAATGCGTTGCAAGCATAGGAAGTCCAGCAGGAGATCAGGAGAGATTGGATACCAACTTTCTGCTTCTTAGTATGTTAGGACTGGCAGTATGAACATCACATAAGGACTCTAATTATGATCTGCAGTGCGTACAGTTATTAATAGCATCAGAACTTGAAGGAAGTGACGTCACATAATAAGTGATAGGAAGCGAGGAGCTGCTCTCTGCAAAACTGACTGTGGAATCAATTTGCGAACATTAATCTATCTATGTGCACTTATTCTGAACGCCTTGTTCAGATGGTTCATGAAATTTCAGAATAACCATGAGTGACTGGTGAGGAAATGGACTGTCTTATATTGGATGAAAGAGCAAGTTTGACTAGGCGTTCACTGAACAGTGTTTCTTTCCCTGTTCAGAAAACTGTACGTCTCTAAGTTTTTAAGAGAGCTGGAGTTGCAAATCAGAATTCTACTCTATGAGAAAATGCCTTTACGTCATCTCTCTCATATATCATAGCAAACATAATTACAGAACTGAATAACACAGCAATACAAATTGAATTTTTTTGGTTAATTTTGGTGTAAATTTTAGATAGAAATAAAGCTTCACTCAAAATCGTAAACAGAAAATTCAATAGAAATATACATAATAAAAAGGTCCGTCTTCTGGCATATGACTCCGTATTATCTGTTGAAAGTTATCCGTTTGTTACAGAAGAACATACGGCCACCATCTGCAGGGTAGAAGGTAAGCCAGTCGTTTAGATTTTCTCGCTACCTGCTTCAGGCTGGTTTATTTCTTGGCTTATTCTTCAAACCTTAAGAGGAAAGCGTCAAATTCCTCCGAATCTTTGGTTAACTATCTACGGGCTACAAGATGTTATATCCCACAAAACCAATCTTCATTATCACTGCTGTACTAACCTCAAGTCCTACAGTATATTTAATATTCTGAATCTAAAATCGATGTGTTTGACTGCATCTTTTAACCTGATTCATTCGAGTCGTAACATCTTCATTTATATCAGGTAATAATTTATGTGTGATGGCCCTCGCAGGAGACGTTAAGGAAGAGTAAAATGAATTTATAAAATATTGTTTATTGGTTTCTTTTTTGCCACAATTTGAAAGATGTCAGTCCATTTTAAATAATATCATTAATATGGCTTATCAGAATATGAATTTGTGTTATAATATAGCTAGTAGGTTAAAGTCAAGAACTTTAAAGTTTTATGGTGTGCATCCCTTCCATTAATTGCGATTTCCGTAACCCATATAACAAGCAAAGCTTTCAGTGAGTAGTATCTTCATGGTAGAGCATATGTACATACATAATGAACGTTTTATACACAAATTTTGGTCAATTTTTATGACAAACATTGTGATTATGTAGTTCGTAATTCGTTTTTTATAAGAACAGTACTCAGAACTATTGTTTTTTGGACTTTATCCATCATCCTATATTCTAAAAACAAAAAGAATAAAATATTTCGCGAACTGGATCTGTGTCCGCCCTCAGGTGAGGGTGTTGGGTCCGTTAGAAAGACCTAACTTCAATCACTGGACTACTGTATTTGTAATGGACCCCATGGAGTAGATGTCTCCCACCTCGTCACCTAAGGACGGAAATACCAGTTTCCGAAACGTTGTCCTCTTTTTTTGTTGTTTAGAATACTGGACAATGGACGAAGTCCAAAAACCCTGTAGTCCAGAGTATTATACACAATCGTCAGAACTCTTCCGAACCTACAAAACTACTGTTTTTTAGAATGTGAGACCGTATAATCCTGTAGAAGTTCACCAGTATGTCGGAGAAACATACTGCCTTTTTTCAGTGTACAAGAGTGAAACCAAACAGGCAGCAAGTATGTTCTCTCCGACCTGCTTGCTAGTTGACTACTTGGCTTTTCTCTTGTGCTCTGAAGACGGAGGCAGTATATTTATCTGAAAAGGCGGCAAAGTTTTACCATACTGCACGACTTTACAAACCATAAGGCAGTAATTCTCATAGTCACCGACCTTTTTTGTAAACGTTTGCAAGACTGCGACACTTGGCACAAAGAGGAATTGGTCAGGTATGTGTCTGTTTAAATCAATTTGAAGAGCCCCAACTAATTAATAGGTAATATACAGAAACGTCGAAAGCCTTATTATGCTAGTTTACTTTAGCGGAATATTTCCTCTGCAAAAAATGTTTGATACAGTAGAGATCTTGTTAAGTTCTGTATAACGATTTATATTATACATTTTTCCTGAAAGTATGATTAATATTTATATTAAAATATGTCTAGACAGGGGCAACAAAATCTTAATTTTTGGGAAATTAGAAATATGTAAAAGCTAAATATGGACCAATTGATTATAGAACTAATCACAAAAAAAGTCTTAACTTTAACGAAAATTTTTTGACTTAAAAAAGTTTGTTTTAAAATAATTTCATTCATGTATGTGTGACAATGCAGTTATTACAAAAACGGTGTTCACTGCTGATATTGGATGTAGAGAGACAGTTGATACATAGAATTCAGTGCGCCTTCGAATAGGTTATAAATTTGTTAACAAATAATATCATTTGGTGTGCATGTTGTGTCACATTTATGTAGTTATGTACATAGTGATGTAATATTATTAATCATCTGAATATTATATGAATTTGTGAACACTAATTCCGCGAAGAGCTATGTCAGTTTTTAAAGAAGCTTAACATATTACAAGTCGGTCTGAAAACGAATGAATATCAATTAAAATATTATTTACAATATATAAATTGATATCTTTTACATGAAGCATGTAGTGAAAAATGCCGATACAGAGTCACTTAAATGTTTATTGTCACTTTAATGTTATGAAATGTGTTTTAATTAAACATTTATAATAATATCTGTTAATAATAAAATATTACAACCATAAGGTGGAAAAAATATTTTAAATAGATTATTACCAGATTAAATAAAACACGGTTATCAGTTTAATATTTAAGTTTAAACTCTCAGAGAAGGAAGCAAATGATTTCTGACTTACGTCCAGACCGCCGTTTAATGCTAAATATTCATTAACATTAACAAATATACCATAAAGATACGTATTTAATTTGTTAAATGTATATTATATTTTGAAAATTTATTTAATTTTATTTTACTGAAATCTGAGACAAATCTGGTAAGAAATAATGTTAGTTTTAAATTTATTGTTATGTTACAATATGTTTATTATGAATTAATTTTCAGTATTTATTAATTTTACTGCTGAAATCACAAGCATTTTTAGTACAGCTGATATTAAAATGACGTAACCTTTTGTAATGTGATATCTGTGTTGTCACTTGAAGAATACAATCTTCTTTGAAGTAAGGCTATACAGTCTGGTAAAAGTTTACCGACGTTTCAAAGGGACGTACTGCATGCCGAGCAAGTAAACAGGCAGACAGAATAACACTGTTTACTGCTTGCATGTGTACTTTCTACCCTGATGCTGGAGGTAGTACATTCCTTCGAAACGTTGTTCAACTTCTATCCGCCTATATGGCGTCACATCACGGAAGATAGTATTGTTCATAGCCACTGCTGTGAGAACATAACATTTTATGTTCTGTTAACTTGTATGATTTTCTGTGTGATTTGGTTTTTTATGGTATATTATACGACTTTCGTCGTCATAACTGTGTTCATGGTTGATTAGATATGCAGAAGCAAGCAATTATATTATAATATATACAGATATCGAAATTAGTTATATATTGCAAAACAGAATTTGAGAGTATTGAAATTCATGCACTATTATGAGTGGAAATTTTGTTCTGCATTTCATTTGAGCTGCCTTGATATTATACATAACAAATTAATTCTACATATATACATTTTCCCTTGTGAGCTAAAAAGAATCAGTTCGAGTAATNATACATGTAACAATCCGAGTTCTATCAGACTTATAAATGTTCAAAGTCCTTTCATTTTAGAATTTTCTGTTAAATAAAAATAAACCCAATTGTCTGATTTGTATGTAAGTGAACTTAGAATTGGAACAATAACTAAATTTCTGTCACTTTATATATATGTACAATAAAAATTTGCTTAAAAAGAAACAACTTAAGAACATAATTTCAAATTTAGCAAAAATTAGTTTCTTTCGACAATTTATGCAGTTAATCCTTTAAAGCACAGTAAAGTAAATGTATCACCACTGTAACAGGCCGTGGAGGCCCATAAGGTTGTGAGACGTCGAGGCGCCCACATTTTCTCTAGACAATCGGCTCACAGGTGGCGGTGAGGTCGTCAGCCTTACGCGCCGTCCGCCTTTA